ACTTTTTTTCGTTGCTGCATATCTCGGCACCGCAGCTCTCGTAACCCAGCTCTCTTGCCCGCGCGTCTGCCTGCTAGCGCGGAAAGTTACTATTATTGTTTCGATAACTTTTTTATTTGTTATTTGGTGCGCGCAACACCACTAAGCGAGATAATCTCTAAAACCTTTGCGTAGTTTATGGAGTATCAGAGTTGAAAACAACAACAGCAGTAACAACCACAATGGGAAAATAAATTATACACCGCGTGTAGCGTGTGTGCGAGCGAGCTGATGTTGTAAAACTAAAACTGCATATCGTAATGTGTGTTTGAGTGGTTTTCTTTAGTGATTTTTAATGCTCATTTGATAACTGTTAATAGCTTGTTGGCAAATTTCCATTAAAATGTGCGGCATTAAAATTTAATTAGCGGAATTGGTTTGAACTGAACAGAGTTGCGTTTAGCTGAGAGCTGTTTAACTTTGGATGAGGCGAACACAGAGGATGAGCTACGTAATAGTCGATTTGCATGCGTTGTATTTGCAATTGTAACTTTAGTTTTTTATTTTTGAGGTTTTTGTGAGATTTTATTATCGTTTTTCTTATTGAGGATTGGAATAGATTCATTAATCTAATAGCATAAAAAAATCACAGCAAATCGAATAGGAAGGACTCGATTAACCAGTCTTCAACTAAATCGATCCTAGAATGGCTTATTTTTCTTTAGGTTGCGTTACTCGTTGCTGATACGCATTCGCGCCCTCAAAGTATGACAACGACTCCCACACGCATACATACATACGAGTTCGTATATACCTACTCACATACGTAGATATGCGCCTAACGCATTTGTAGGTTAGTTCAGCATTGCATTGCGGCACGTGCCACGTACGCTAACCGTCCAGCCGTATGCTGTGTTGGTCACGCGTGCCTGCGCAGCACGGAATGCGTGACGAGGATTGTTTGATCACCTCTTTTCTTATTTTTCTTTCTGCTACTTTATTGCACCTTGGGCTTGTGTGTTTGTTTATTTTTTCTTTTTATTTCTTTTATTTCAATACTTCGATCTGCAGCATGTACCCACGGTAGCAATTGTGAACAATGTGTTGCATAGGTAGTCAATTGCCATTGCGCACACCCACCCACTTGCCCACCCGGCCACTCACGGTCACTTCCACGTCCACCTCAGTTACACTTAAACTGCACTGGAAGCGTAGTGTTGCATGCCGCAGCAGCAATATATCGCCTCTAGATCTCATGTTGGCCGCACATGTCGGTCCCCAGCATCACTGTGTGCTATACCAGGCCTTGCTGCCTGTCTCTTTAGCAATAGTTGAACTGGTTTTCTACTTTTCTCTTGCCAACCTCAGTTGTTTGCTGCCAAACTTTACTCGAACTCCAGCTCGCTCTACCCATATGCCGCGCCAAAATCCATTAAAAATGTGTCAGCCTCCGTTGCCGCTACAGTCGCACGCCAAACTCCGCTGCATTGCCGTTAGTGGCGCGCGTGGCAACTGAATTTTGGTTGTAGCTGAATTATTGGAGGAGCTCACTATTTTGTATTTGCTGCGCCCTATTTTCTTTTTGGTTAGCCTTTGCGAATTTGTTCGGTTTACTTTTTTCAGTTATCGCTTTCCTCGCTGCCATTTGCTTGTGTTTTTGTTACATTTCCTGGTTTAAAAAGTGGTTAATAGCTTTTCTTCCACACCGCAAGCGCGCCTCACGAAATTTCCAAGCTTTGGGCACGCTTCGCCGAGCTGTAGCTCCAGGCAGTCCAACATATGCTCTGCAACATACAACCATTCACTCGCTTTTCCTTGCCTACCGGTCTGCCATTTGGGATTCGCGTGTGTGCTTTAGATCTGTATGTGTCATTGCTTGGTTCGTTGCCCGCCTGTTGGTTGGTCGGTTAGTTGGGTTTGGTTTGGGTTTCGACAGGAATTATAACAGTAAAACGTGCAAAGTGCTCAGGTTGTCAGGAGGACTTGTCAGTGCGCTGCGCTTTTACCAAGTACGTATGCTGCCACAAGCAACCCGCTGTTGTTGTTATCATTTTTGTTGCTGTTTTTTTTATTGTTTTTGCTGTTGATACAGTTGCTTGTAAAATTGCTGTGGCTGTCATCAGTGGATTCGGTATTGCTTTCGGAGCATCATCGCCTGGTGTCACACACACGCTACTCTACTTCACTCCACTTCACTTCATTTTACTTCCATCTACGGCTGGCTTTGCGGTTGAAAGTTTTCGCCTGTAACTTTGTAATGTACTCGCCATTGCATGAGTTAACTCGACATACATACTTCCATCTTACCTTGCCTTACCTTGCACGTCTGCTGCAGCAGTAGCAGCATTACTTTTTTCTTCTCCTTCCTTTTGTCGCCTGTCGAGCGTGCTGAGTTTCCCAAGCTGCCTGGTGGGGCTTTATGCCATCATAGCAGTGCATACTCGTATTTGCTTGGTGTTTGATAATGGGGCTAAGACATTTCTGCTGCTGTCATGTCCATTTGTCCAACAAATGCTGGTGATTATTTTTTATATTATTTGTCTTTTATGCTCCGCTGAAAAAGTAAAATATCGACCTGAATTTTGTAGAATTTGGTTTGCAAAGAAAGAAGTAGGTATATTGTTGTTTTACTTGTTTTGCGCAATTTGATAAAGCAGTCATCTTAAGTTCTGTAGAAAAATTCAGCAAACTGAGTGTTTGGCCCATAGCGTTTGTGAACGCAAATTTGTTATGTTAAAATTTTAAATCTAAAGAAGTAGACATTTGAGAAAGCAGCAGGAAGTTGTTTACTTAATTTTAACTTTGCTGGACATGAGGAGACTCTTGCTCACGAAACAAAAGCTTAAATAATTTGTAGATGCTTTTTTGGCAAACCACTTCGTTAAAACAAGAAAACAATCACTTGCGTCTTCTCCATGGAAGCTACTTGAGACCAAAAGTTTAGAAAAATATACACTTGATTGAGATTTGTTGTGCTCCTTCCTCCTCAGAACGATTCATCTTAGCAAACTTCTTTTGGAAAATCCGGTTTCTGAGCATTCGCGTTGCCGAATTTCAAAAGAGATATGGAGCAACACTCTTTTATTTCTAAATAATTACACATGGGAATGTCCAATATGTACTTCATCAATGTCCTGTGAAGTAATTTGTTAAAATTTACATATACTTCCTTCAAAAATTGGTTAGAAGTACTCCTAACCAGTGCTAAGAGCTAAGGTAGTTACAATAATATCATTACCATACTTTTATCGCATTTAGACTGTTGACGTACTCTTCATGTCCCGTGCTTGTCTTTGTTCGATACGATTGAGTAAGTCAGATATCAGCTGAGTGTGAGTGCCACCACCAAGACCATGACTACAATTTTTGTTCACTCTATTAGCTCCTGTAACTTGTCAGTAAACGCAGCGTTAATGGCTTACATCTACAATTTGAGGCAAGTTGTAGAATGTCCTGAACCCTCTTCGACAGTTCCCACCGGTAGTGCATACTCCAACACCTTCTACTTGTCCATCGGCTACCTTTGCAGTTAAAGCCAACGGACTGTACCCCTAAGATGCCTCGCTGATCCAATTCGCATCAATATCGGGCCACCGTGCGCTACTATCACGACCCTTACCTCATTTTCGCCAGATCACAGCGCATACAAATTCCAGCTGTTTCCCTCACATATAAGTGTTTTACTTACCTACTATCGCCGATGGCGAGTTCTTTTTATAGATATTCAGAGTCTGTTACAGATTTTTTGAATAGCACTGGCGATTTGCATGCTTATATTTACAAAAAATGTTGCCTTTTCATTTCCATCTTCCTAATTGTGCGTAGAGGGCATTGAAACGGCAGCATTTTTCGGTGGAAGAGCAAATGGCATAAATTGTATGCGAGATTCTTACCAACTAACCGGTCTCGCTCGAACATGTTCGTCCAAAAAAATTTTAATATTTGGCGCTTACACTGTTGCTAAGTGTTTGACCAAGCTTGTATTCCAATTTGCGTTGCGAGTTTGATGGTGCTACACAAATAGAGGGGCCTACAGTTTTACGCAATCTCCGAACGGCAAATTGATTTTATGAGAAGCTTTGTCGAGACAGAAATACACTCGGAGGTTTGGCATTGCCTTTCGAGGGGCGATGGTGTAGAAAAAGACTTGTTTTATAATTTTTTCGGTATGTTGCTTTGAGCAGAGATCGAGACTTCTTCCTACGGAGTAACAGTATGAACCTTTAATCACTCAACTACAGTGGCCTCGCCCTAGTTTCCCAAATAATCCGGCCGTTTGACGAGTTATGTAATTGAAGCGAACCTCACTACATAAGCATAGCAATTTTTTACCTCCGAAAACCTCTCTGAAAATCTCTACTTATCGTACTCACCATATTTAAATATCGTTTAATTTTTTTCTTTTTATTTCTATTATCTAAAAACACTCTCTCCTTCAATGTTTTCCTCCAAGCCTTGATAAGTTAAGCTCTCTATTCACCTCGTTGCGCTTGTATGTATGTAACTAATTATTGAATGCATCCGGTGGTCATGACTTGCCGATAATTCTTACATTTTGACACACTTGGTTAATTTTTTAATATTTCACATGTCACAACAGCAGACTATGGTAAATCAACGATGCGTTGAACATACCCTCCTTCATCTGTGTGGACAACAGCTTCACGTTTCACATTTGACATCATTAATTCCAGCATTTGACGTCTGCTGGTTGTCATTACAGTTTACGCTGCATAAATAGGATAGAACACACATATGTAGATACCCAAGTATATAAGTGATACATTGTAGATTATTTACAACATACATACCTCTTTTTGTATATCCGCCACTAAGCTGCAGCCTGTTGCTTCAATTTGTATTTAGCGTACATATGTACTTAGTAACTACATTCAATATCCGCCTCGAACGCCACAAATCCGGTAGCGCCAGCCAATGGCGTTACTAATCGAATTGCCTCATGACCTGTTTAAACGTGTTGCGAAAGATGACTGTGGCCAGCACTCGTTGGTGGTATGTGCTCGTAACATTGCTGCTGCGATTGCTGCTGACCGACTGACTGGTTGTGTGTGCCCGCAACACGACTTCTAATGATGCGTACCGATAAAGTGCGAAATGCTAATGAGTTTGACGGCAGCAGAAAGAGCGCGACGGCGATGTGTTGGTGCGAGTGTGTGTGACTGGCGGCGCGAATTCGCTGCTCGCTAATGACTTTTGTACGCTTTGATATTTTTTGTTGACATTTGTATAGAAGAAGAGACAGAGTTGAATTGTTTTGCGCCCCTAGTGCCAATTCGTTGGCAAATCATTTCCAGAACTAATTATTTACGGCTAATCAGCTATATTTGCTAGCTGATTTAACAAGCGAATAATGCGTTAGAATTTCTATGTCAAAGTATCCGCGCCACACACTTGTCGCCCACAGTGCATTTAAATAAAAAGAAACCGCCGAGTAAAACTACACAGCAAACAAAATATCATTCATAAGCTTAAACGCTGGCGTTGTCATAAATTATAAAATATTACGATACACATTTCATTTGATTGCTTTGCATTATGAAAAAAAAATCTTCAAAAAAAGAAAAATCACACCGCGACAGAATTTCAAGTTTAATAGCCGAAGCGTTCGTTATTGCTACGCGCGCACTATTGGCACAGGTTTGTTTTCTTAATCTTCCACTCTACATATAATATTTGCATTTTGTTTGCTTCGCCTTGCCTTGCGGTGCACAACGAAATGCTTTGAAGACGGCGCCGCTTTGGACAATAAATCATTTGCAGTTTACGCAGAAAAAAAGAAATAAAAGATACTGCAAGCAATTGGCAGCGTAAGGGGCGCTCAACAGCTCAACTGCTTCACACTCTTTTTGCTAGTCACTCTATCTTTTGACTACACACACTCGCCGTCGAATCGCACACGAGGCGCACACCAGCCCTCTTCGTTGGCCAATCAAACGCCCGCTGCCGCTTCGTGCCGAATCGTTTGCGTCACACGAGCGCCTACTTTGGTGGTAACTAAACGCTAGGGCGGTTGAGTTGGCGAAGGTAAATAACATCGTTGTCGTCATCGTGTTGCCGTCGACTCACGAGACTTTTCTGCAGTCCCACGGAGTACCTCACTCACGCTCTCAGCGAGCTATGTACATATATTGTACATATTAGATCTCGCGCTCACTCTCCCAGCCAATTTGTATGGCTGCTTGTTCCACAACCTCCTTCGCGGCCACTCGCGTTCAACACTCTCTATTAAGTCAATCTCTTGTGGATTCTGTTGACATTTGCTTCGCAGCCAACTGGTCAGGCATTCAGTGTTGCCATCGCTTGCGCATTTTCGTTGCTTGCGAATTTATTTCACCTCTCTGGTTTTTGTTTGCAAACCACTGCCGAATACGTAAATTTTCATTTCGTCTGTCGATTCGGCTCACGCGTCTCTTCGTCGTAACACCGCTGCGCGCCGTCTGTTCGTAGCACATGTCTCACGGTTGGTCAGTTGCTGCAGTTGTTTTTTGTTGCCTTGTTGTGGACTTTGACTCTATCATACTTGGTGTATGTATGCAGCAACAACAATAAACGCGATTTGCAAGTATATCACCGCCACATTAGTTGTGTTTTTAGTTGTTGGCACGCTACATATTTGACTGTTTGTTGTTTTTATTTGTTCGTTGTTTATTTTCGCTCGATTCTATTGCCGTTATAGTTGCCGTTGCTGCCGTTATAGCACTCGCCGATTTGACTCGACACTGCCTACCGCTGCATGGTATATTCATACTTGGATATTTTTTTGTGTATGTATGTTTTTCTAGTTCATATTTTTAGTGTTGTTGCTGGTGGAATTTTTTTCATAAACAACTTCGAGATTTTATTTTTGTACCCTAGCACAAGGCATTTATTGATTTTATTGTTTAGATCTTGAATCATAGTTCGATTTGTGATGCTTATGCTTGATAGAGACCAGAGGATCTAAAGATGGCTCTGGACAAAAAACTCAACTTCAACCTTCTGGTCAAACCTTTTCGCAAAATTTTAGTTCTAACGACGTCAGATATGAATAACTGCAGAAAAAGCTGGATAAAGGAAGAGTTCTGAGGTTAAAAGGAATGATAATACCAGAGATAAAAGCTTCGCGGAAAGTCTTAATGACTTCTAGAACCTAGACAAGAGGAAATTCCTCTTACGGGATACCTAAGCAGATACACAAAGCTAAACTCCAACCATATTGGTTGCATGAAACTTTTTAATCCGTCGGACAATAGTTTTTTAAAAAACTTTTTTTGGTCTGGTGGAGGAATCCTCATATCACACTCTGTGGAACTTAAAGTTGTAGGACGAATTGGTACTTCCTGAGCAACGATAGATCGTGTAGATCCTGTAAAGTACTGGATCTCCCACTGGCTGAGTCTTATCATATTCCATGTCGAGTTCTTCATCCGAACTGACAGTGTTGGAGAGACAGTAAACAACTCACCTACGTATAGCGATCTAAGATGGGCAGGCTTCCAGTTAATCAGAAAGTAATTATCTGCAGACTTAAAATTCACAGAGTTGTCTACTTATGGATAATTCAGAAGTTAGCCAATAAAAAGACTAATTTAGATCCAACTTGAACCATCCGTGGCGCTTTTTCGATCTTTGGAAAAACGAAATCAATGGTGTACAAGTTCAATAGAGCTCTTAGGTCAGTTCTGCTTTCACCCTACTGTCGCTGATTAGACGCTCCAACTGAAGTGAAGTTCTTTTCCACTCGGTCGTTCAAACTGAGAAAATATGTAACTTCCAAAAAGAATGGTTTTACGTGCAGAAATCTAAACAAGTAGTCCTAGTCTAGTCCATAAAAGTTTCTGTTGCAGTTTACAGGCAACTTGAGCAGAGAAGAAAACCCCGGTCGACTCACTCTGACCTCTGCAGTTTTGAAAGTCTGTTTTCTATCAAAATACTGCTGACATATTTCGCGGGACTAAATACTCTGTAAATAAGACTGAGAACTGTTCAATCCATTACGATGGCTGTTTGTACAAAATCAAGGGCAATTATACGAAATCGTAATCCATTTATTCGCACTTTCGTTCTTGCAGCATCTTTAACCCTGCAGTAGTCGCGCGGTCTACATATGTAATCCACCATAGTTAAATTTCATATTTCTTGAAAATGGTGCATCGATTTTATCGGAGATTTTTGCTACTTGTAACTAACAAATAGANCAGATACATTCTGACAACTTGTATCATATGTGTTACAAATGTCGAAAGCTGAGTCTATGGCATCTATGGCATAGGCATCTCTACCGACCTAAATATCGAAGAACATGGTAATCGTTGAAACTTCAGCTCGGGAAGAGACAGTCTAGACTTTGAAGAACCGGATTAACTTTGTTTTGCTTCCAGTTCTTTAATTTTTCATTGTAAATCATGATTGGACCAAAGGGATCTTTGTTGCTTCGTAGGAGGTCTCGGAGTAGTAAACTGCAATGTGCCATTCCCCAAGTATATAGGAGTCTTAAAAGGGCCATTCTCTTGAAAGGAGATCCAGCATGAGCTGCCTTCAGATGTAATGCGTAATCTTGGAGGATTCTTGTGATGAACTGACTAACTTTATTGACTGACAAGTTAGGATAGCTTTGCTGGATTATCTTCCAAGGCATGGTGTTCTTCTAAAATTGTTTCTCCAAATTGTAAACGTCCATCTATACTGGTTCCTGGAACTTAGCGGTGTACAACATAGCGACCCTGAGCAGCTGCTAACAGCGGGGGGATTCTCTGGACATTTGGAAAAATCTCTTTCAACGCTCATGTCAGCTCTTGACAAGAGCAGTCAGTCTAATCAAATCAAGCCTGACCTTTTATACATTTTCATGCTGCGCCTTATTTATTTAACTAAACAACCGTTAGCCTTCAAAAACGAGTTCAACGAATTCGCATTCGCTTTTTAGTGAACAAAATTGAACTAACCTTCCGCTGCGCCTACGCTGCGTAAACAAGCCATATAAAACTTTATGCCAACATAGAAAAAATTATTATTATTGCTAATCTCTTTTTTTTCGTACCACTTTTTGCTAATTCGCAAAATAAACAAAACCGACAAAGTACAAAAATAGCAAAAAGAATAGTTTCAGCGAAAAAACAACGCGCTGTTTTTGAAGGTCTCCCACTCCCTGCCTCTGTTAGTCGCAATTGATAGCGTTTGCTTTAGTTTTTTTTCGCGCTCCCATTTCGGCCTTCACACCAGTCAAAGAAGGAAGTTTGTCGTCGCACAAGCACACATTTGCACGCATGTATGTACATACGTTTTTCTTTATCAATCGCGCATTTGCACTCGTGCGCCACATTTTTCCTCGTTAGTTCGAAAGTTGCTGTTTTGTTAGTGTTTTTTAATTTTTTTTTTTTGTAGATGAGAGCTGTGCTGGGAGAAAGCGAGGTCGGCCGGTCATTGAACGCGAATAACTATTCAAAAAAGAGCACAATTATGCCGAAATATTTTTATACTTTTATGGTTTTGCCTACCAATGACCCGTTGAAGGTTTTTCCGTGGTCTTGAAGGGCTTATGTATATGTAGTTTTCTTTTTTACTACAAAAAAAATTCCCCCTTATCAGTGCCAATAAGCAAACTACAATAATTAATCGTAAAAATAACATGCGTTAGACAGCGAGGAGCATGATTGGGATTTAGTAGCACTTCAGGCCTCTTATCAACTGGTATGTATGTTTGGTGTGGTGGGCACATGACAGTTGAGAATTTACTACGTTGTACTTATTAGTCTTAATTCCACAGGTACTTATATACATATGTATGTTAGCGGTTGTATGACTCACAGATAAATGACTGCTTCAGGATTGACAGATCAGTGGGAATACATAGGCGTCTAGTCATAGGATAGGTGTCTCATACCAAGGAACTTTGTGCCGATCTGTCGCCTCGTAACCTTTGTCTAAACTGGAGCCATGGAGGTTTTGATGTGACTCAGTGAAACCAGCAACGCAACACACACTTCCGAACTGCGTTGAACTGTACTATCTAGGAACCTTACGTTCTCAATGCCGGCTAGTAACGTTCCCTGACAGAACTACTACTACTACTATTCCGTGTTTCCAGAAGCGTTTCCGCCTTCTCTATGCAAAAAATATGCCTGAAAGACACTGCAGTTATCAGGCAGGCGATATGATTGCCATATATGCAGGTCCTTAGAGTAAAGATCTGATCCGACTCCTTTTTTCCATGATTGAGCCATCGGTGTAGATGGAAACAGCATAATTTGCCGACAGTAGACCGCCTTCCCAATCTTATCTCGTTAGAAAATGTATGGTAATCCTACACCTAAAATCCCAGGTTGACGTGAGGTTATCAATTTGAACATCTAAGTAGCCTGGATTCCGTTACGTCGTCCGCTATTAATTACATTCAATACCGCTGCGTGCCCGTAATTAGTCACCTTCTACAATTTTGATTCCCCTAGTTTAAGGGCCCCTCTTGTGACTGTACCTGTTACGAAGACTTGTGGTGGATTCAAGTAAAATATCATGTTCAGTCATTCTTGTGATGTGCTGCTCACGGCGTCTGATATACCGAGGCTTGCGAGTCGCTGCACTAATCCAATTATTTTCTAGTGCTTTCCATCAGATCATCTATCGTAAGACTGTGAGCCCTTCTTTGCTCTTTCCTCTACGTTTCGCCTTCAGGTAATTTTAAAGTCAAAGATAATACCTTAGTATTTTGCCTCGCAGGAAATATTCAGGCCAGTCCTTTCAAGCTTTGGAATTCAGCAATTTTTGTTTTCCTCGTGACAAGACAAGTTCGGTTTTGAAAGGGTCAGTAATTTGCCAGCTACCGCAATCTATTTAACGTTAACTTCAAAATTAGAATCGAGATTCGCAAATGAAAATCTCGGTACGATAAAAGTCTGATCACCACATATTTACTTGCTTGCAGTGGCTAGTAGAGCGTCTTTCAAACATAGCAACACGGTCTGTGGGGTCTGAAGATCCAATTTTATTTGGATACCTCTCTTTAAACTAGAATTGCCAGCAGATATTCTGTGGAAAGCTGTTCGAACTGCAACGTTTGGTTAATATGGTGGAGACGGTCAGTTTTTCTAGCTGTGTAGTCCATCTTTCGCGGCGTTCTTATTCCTGTTACTATTGTACATTGGTCTGCTTTCACCAACGGCGAAAGGCTGAATATCGTTTATAAAAATTTTACCGATACGTCAAAAAAATTAACTAAAGTCGATGAAGTCAAGATCCGTTCCATGGAAGCTTTCTACATGTGGCTTAACTTAAGATAATAGTTTTCGACAGGCTATTGGGCATACAAACCTTTGCCGAACTCTGGTCCTTTGTGACTTTTCGGAAGCCATAGCTTTATTTTCCAGTAACTATTGGCCTTTCGAAATGCACCTTTAGCTATAAAGGGCTGGATCTACCACGTGTTGCAGAAATGTGTAATAAGAGACTTACAATGGGAGGTCTATAAGAATAATTTAAGTTGTAAACACTGGTTTCCCCGAATGCTGCAAATATGTGTGGGCGTCTAATAGAAATCTTACATTAGGACCCCGAGCATTGTCCTTAAGTCGAAAAGGCTCGATATCGCTTAAGTGTACACGGCCTTAGGACCCCGAGTAGAGACCTTACGCAAGCTTTCTATTAAACGCCAGACATTTCTGCTGCACATGGAGGATCATCGACCTTACTTCGGGTTTCTAGCCTCCAAAGTACCATGGTAAAATCAGTTTAAAAATAGCCATTCTTTTATGAATTTATTTCCATCTCGTACGGCACAGCACTGCTTAAAAATGAACACAACTTGCCGAAATTCCACGAACAAACTGAAAAACACTTCTATTTTCAACAAAACACTATCAAAATTTAACTAAAAGCCACTCAACTATCCCATTTAAGCCAATTTAATCCACCCAAAAGTATCAAAGAATGTTCTCGAAATGACGTAGAATGCACACTTGAATTTGCTGGCTTCCACATCCACCAGCTGCTTATTCTTCTTCGCCAACTACTTCCACACCGTAGAGGCGGAATGTGAGTGGAAAACTGTCATAAATACATAGTCGGCTGCAAACACAAGAAAGTGCAACAACAACATCTAACTCAAACTGAGTAGCGAAAATTGTATTTAGCTGTAGCCGCGTACCACAAGATGATGCACGAAGGCACAGTGCAACACAACGACGATGGTTGACGGCCTATCAAGCAAAGAAACGTGAAAACGAGTGGAAAATTTTTTGCACAACATTTGCAAAAAGTCGATGAAGGTGTCATGCCGCTAGTGGATAGTCGGTCTCGCATGTGGAATGAGTAGAGTCAGCGAGCGATGAGAGTATGAGAGTTTACATGGCGAGAGCGTGAGAGTCAGCTGATTGCTCGGCTGCACTACCGGCTCACCAGCACTTGCTGTTCGCAGAAGTGCAAGAACTTTCTGTTTACTCCTTATGTAGTTGGATACCTTTCCGATACCCAAGTACCCGATCGCACGTACTCAGCGCGAAAGATAAGCAGCAGAAAGGAAGGCAGACGGCAAGCAATCGGTGACGACAATTGAAATTGGGGTGGGCCTGCTGTTTGTTCGTTGCTTTGCCGCGCGCGCTGTCTTCTGAGGCGAGCGCAAGTGTTTGCTCTTCTCGCTGCGTTTTTTCTCGAATGTGGCCCGGCCGCTCTTCTCGAGTCCAACACACTCTCTCTGGCGCTCGATATCTCACTTTCCTTATAGTTCCACAGTCATTTCGTTAGCTACCTCAGTATTGCTCTACCTGTCGAACTAAACGTGTCACACGCGGAACGCTAAGCGAAACGTACGTAAGCAAGAAAACAAGTATTAGTTAACAGTGCAGTAAGGCACACACACACATAAACGCCCACCAGTGCCGACGAAAACGGACAGCCGAACGGTAGCGCCGGCAACTTACCGCGCGCGTAGTAAATAACTTAGGATACAATTCGCACAGAAACGCGATTCTCTATCTTCGTCGTCGGTGTGATTTCAGTAGTCGTCGTCACCGTCGCGCTTTTCCACAATCTATGCAAAGCGTGAACGTTTTATGGGCTCTTCGTCGCCACTGTGCGCGCGCGGGTGCACAATTGCGGCCGCTGGCACCTACCGTAGCCGCCGTTCCACACCGCTTCAACGCGCTAACCGGTGCTGCTCTGGCGCAAAAGAAAATAAAAACAATGAAAAAAATAATCACACGAATGACGTGTTGGAAACCAAAAAAGGCAACAACAATTTATTGTAAAATAGCCGGTTGTCGGTCGTTCCTATGCTAGCGCGTTGGCTGGCATGGTTGGGCGGCTATGTGGTGTGCGGTGGGCGGCAACGCGGCGCGTAACTCGTCGCTGCTGGTTTATTATTATTATTATTTTTTTTTTTTGTGCACGCAGCTCGCGTTTTGTTTTCGCTCGAAACGTGCGCATGAAATGTAAATAAGAATCATATCGAGCTTTGTTGATTTTTTGTCGCCTCTTTTTCTTGGTTGGACTGTCGTCCGGTGGTATTGGACTGTGGAACGCGCGCGCCCTTAATTTTAAAATTTTTCTAAGTGATTCTGTGTTTTTTTTTTATTGTGGCGACGCGAGAATTTGTCAAACTGCAGATAACATTTTAATATAGAGCTCTGCATATTTGTTCGAATTGGGAGAGTATGCAGCTTGTGAATATGTATTTAGAAAGCATGTAGAGTAGAAAAAGTGAAGAAAAGTATTGAAAAATACGTGAAAGATGTACAACAATTTTGCAAATACAAGAGAACTCAAATAAAATAGAGAAATTAAATAATTTAAAAAAAAAATAAAAAAGTTGAAAAATATTTATATAGATATAAAACTACAAATTAAAAAAAAAAAATAATTGGACAATTTTTTCTTCTAAAAAACATGTCTAAAAGTTTGCGAAAAATGTCCTATATTTTCGGAATTTAGTGCCAAAAATTAGTAAAAAAAATCCAATTAAAAAAAATTATAAAAATTTGTTTTGTCTACGCTAAGTAGACAAGAAAGGAAAACAAAATAAATAAAGGTGTTCTACATAAATAATCAGTGCAATAATACGAAATACATAGATGCTGAATAAATAAAAATCACAGTGAAAGAGCACAAAAAATTAAAACCGGTGAAAATTTTCCCCCCAACACTTGTTGCCTTGTTGTTGTTGCCTTCGTTTACTCGACTAATTCGCTGCCAAATGTGTGAATTAGCAAATATTTTGCCTTTTTATTCGATTTTTTTTTTGGTGTTTGCTTGCTGTGATAAATTGGAACGAAGGTCGCGGCTACTAGATTAAAAAAATATATATAAAATTGTTTACAAAATTGAAAGCAAAGAGGCGCCTTGCGCTGATGTCGAACAAAAATAGATTAAAGGAAATAAAATAACTATAATTAAGGAAATAATTGAGCTATTAAAAAATATGTAGTCGGAAAGAAAAAACATTATAAATACAAAATAAGAAAAATGCACAATTGAGATAAATCAAAAAATTTTGATAATTATACTTTTTTTTAATAAGAAAGATTATACAAAATTTTGAATTTTTTAATGAAATTTTTGAACATGTTTGCCAAAAAATAAACACTAAAAAGTAAGTAATTGCAAAATTAAAAAAAAAACTAATAATTTTTCTTCATAACTTGTTCGTTCATTCCTAAACTTGGCATTGAAAGTATAACTTTGTAAAAAATATTATTCCCAAAAAAAAAACATTTATAAAAGAGTCACGATTTACGAAAAACATTTAATTGCTGAAACTTATTTTTAACAAAAATTTATTTGAAGTGTTTTCGAAAAGTAAATACAATTTTTCTTAAACCAAGTTTTTTTCTTGCAATTTGAAAAATTTAAAAGTATAAAACCGCGCTCGAATTGGACAAATAAACACAATAACAAAAATACTTGCATTATTTTCTACCAAATTGTTACAGAGATTGAAGACAAATTTGAGTCTCTGAATGCATCCATACATTTTTTTGTACTTCAAAAATTTATTACCAACAAAATTTTAAAGTTGTGAAAATGTTTGCGGTAATCATAAGAAATAGCGCATCAAATGAGCATAAAATACGGTTTCAAATAT